AAATTAAAAGCTATGCAGGTCCATATTAAAGACAGGCTGACATGACCGCTTAAGTCATCAAAGTGATTTACATCCACAAGCAATGTGCCCCTCTGCAAAACACAATGTAATCAGAGAAAATCCAGGGAGCCTTTGATTCCTTATTAGAGAGAAAATATGGACTAGGGATGAATGATTTAGCTAACCTTCAAATGGCGATTTGACATTTGGACACACTTTCCTTTGCTCCCTTCCAATGTAAGTCATGTGATGAAAGAATTCACTTCGTTACAGCCTTTGAGTCCAAGACTTCGCTTTGAACGGATTCCTGCCTGAAATACTTCCAGGTAATACAAATCCTTTCTCGCTTTTGATTACTGTACACATTTCAGAAAGAAAACATTGCTAATAAAGGAAAAATCCCATATAATTCCACAGGGATTCCACTGAAATTTCCTAAAACGTTATATACTTTAATAGGGAAATGTCTATATAACTTAGTTTTAATTAAAATACTATGACTTATGGAATTCTACAGTAGGTGTATAATTTTCCATTCAGTTCTATATCCAAAAACTTCATGTAAGAAATCATTTTCTATTAAATTTCACAAGGCATTTTCTTAAGGGAACCATATTATCCTGTACATGAGAATTCCTCTTTAAATTAACATGGCCAAGCAGATTATTTCCACAAGATGATATTAACTTATTAATTTTCGAAAGCAGTATCCTTACACAGCTGTATTATTTTCAAGAGCACGATAAATGCATTTTTTTTTCCTTTAACCTAATCTATCACAATGAAATCAGAAATCCAGTATATCCATTGATGCTCATAATCAACACAAATGTACACTTTTCCTGAATCAATTGAACATGGCCAAAATGGAGCTAGCTTTCCAAAAGCACTTTTTAAACCTAGTTAAAATGACCTAAGGCCGCAGTGTAGACCAAACACACCACGAGCTAATCTTTTTCAACTTTGTAGAATTGCTTTGTCTTTTATTCCTACACCTCTATCACCTTAGGCCAAAATATCTGCCACTAGCCTCCCAGCACTTCTTGCTTGCATTAACAGGGGATGGCTGCTTTGACTTCTCTGAAGTGTCGAATACGGCTGAGGAGGCCTTGAAAATACTTAACATCACATAATTAATCTCGGAGAAAATGAAGAAAATGGGGAGCAAAAAACGTGCTCCCAGAGGAGAGAAGAACCAGCTAAGCCCCATCCTCAACTGGCTGCCTCAGAAGTAAAGGGGACTTCTCCTCAGGGGTATTTGCATTCATAAAAATTCCAAAATTCCATTATCCATCAGGTTCCTTTTTTTTTTTTTTTTCCAATTACAAAAGTTAATAACATATGGAATTGCACTAATTGGACTGAACACATTACCACAAAGAATCAAAAACGTGCTCCACATATAGGCAAAAAATTCTACATGGTCCCAGTTTTGTTATGGCTTATAAAAAGTTTTAACGTGATTACATGAAGTTCTTGAAAAATATAAGACCTTTTTTTTTTTTTTCTCAGATTCTAACTTTCTTGCAGTTTTTAAGACAGACGCTGGGCAGAAAGTCACACTGCATAAAATAGTGATCTCATCCCTCAGTACTAAAGATTAGAGATCCAACATCAACTTCTGGCAAAATCAAGGGTTGGAGAAAGTGAGGAGCTGGTGAAAAAAGAATGACAGCAACCCCTAATTTTCTCATCTAGGAAAAAAATAACTGTGCACTCTCCATGACTGCAATACGTACCGCAATGAGATAGCTATAAAGATCATGCAGGGGTTGCCTACTGCTTTAAGCAAGGTGGTTCTCCATGTCAAAAATAAACCACACAGCAATGTTTTGGTTGTGGAAACAACTTATGGCACCCAACTACAAGAGCGTGGCCCAGGCAGGGTCCACTGATACCAGAGCTGTTATAAAAGATGAGGAAAGCCCAGAAATCGCTCACCTAGAGAAAGTTCAGTCCAATGAGTTAAAGAGCAGCCCTGGCTCTGCTGGTGACAGCGGCACAGACAAACTGTGGCTGGACCACGGGAAGCACCAGGGGGTTGGCGTTGCCTGTCCAGTTTTCCCATGCGAGGGACAACACATTTAAGGTCAGCCAAATCACTCATTGCTTAAAGTAACTGGACACACAGGGCTGTTCTACATTAAAAGCAAGCAAACAAAAGCCCCTAGGGTATCATCTGGGGTGTTCTGAGCAGTATTATCAAATAGCTAGTACTTATAATTACACCTAGCTTTCAAAGGGAGAAAAGCATCCCATGGTTTGGATCTTTTTGCTGATCCAGCTATTTATTTCAATGACTCTTTGGAACACTGCAGCCCCATGGAGCTCTATCCTGCTCACCCCTCCCAAGATACATATTTCACACCTCCACCCCTTCCATGGAATAAGTTTTCTCCTCTTTGGAATCAACAACAAAAATTAAATAAAAAAAAAGACAAAAAAATTAACTACCTTTGAAAAGAGATAAGAGATAATTAAGAGATTTTTTTTTTAAGTTCTGAGTTAGATGAATATATCCTTGAAACGCCCAAAAGAAAACTAAATACAAGAAATATTTTCTACAAACATTTCTGTTTAGCCAAAGCCAATTAGAGGAAATATTCAACCACTTTGACTTAGCTTACATCCAGTCCCCTGAGGCACAGCTTCAGACAGAGGAGGGTTTGTTCCAAACGCACATCAGCTTCCAGAAAGGCTGACCCAGACATATAATTAGACACTGAGCAAAGGCTCATTTCTTGTTCCTTCCCATTTACAACATCTTCTACATAAATCCTTGGGTCCTCACTTACCTTCTCTGGAAAACAAAACGCTTGACATTTTGCCCAGGTAACTACTGAGCAAAACTCAATCAGGACTCCATGCTGTGACCCACATCTGCAGTACGTGCAACCTAACAGCCACACAGGCTGATAAAAGACTAATATTTTAGGATAGGAACTAACAGTGATGAATGCTCAAAAAAGCCCGCGCCACGTGTTATGTTGAACTCAGAGGTCACAAGGAGAGCTCATGGTTTAGCAACCCTCTGCACCAAGAGCTCGGTGCTCCAGCCACCCCCCGGCAGGGCTGTGTGGGAGCAGCCCATGGGCCAGACTCCTTTTCCCTCTCCCAGCTGCCCACTAGCCAGGGAAGGGCAAAACGCAGCCCTGCCAGGCAGGACACGCGTGGCCTGAGCGCACAACAAGACCGAGGGGCTCTGACCCACACCTGCCACGCAGAAATCGTTTCTCTAGAGCCGTAAGAACCTCATTGCTTCCTCTTGCCTCAGTTTCCCTATCTGAGAGAAAGGAGCTAATTAGCTATTAGCCAATTAGCTACTGTGTAGGTCATGCATTTGCAAAGCCCTCAGGCAGCTGAAGAGCATTATATGAACTATATGCACACGTGTTAACGCTGATTAATTTTCTGTGGGCACACATATCCTTTTTTCTTCTTCACTGCCCCTCCTCTCATTTTATCAGCAGTCTCATCTGGAGGAGGACGGGGAACTGCTGACAGCTGAAGTATTTTCCGCAGTTGTTGTTCTGAGATTCAGAAACGCAACCACTCAACACAGCCCTGCGTTCAGCCGCCTGTTTCCTTAATAGCTTTGCGCTTTCATGTGTCTCCTCATTTTCTGTTACATGAATTTAAAGCAATCTGAATCCCAAGTTAATTTGAAATGATGCAGGATCCATTAGTTGTGGGTTTCATTTGCAAAACGGGGCGACAGCTTTCACTCACTTTCAGGCTTCTTCTCAAACGTGAGCAGGGCTCGTGATGTGAATAGAGTCAGTAGGACTTGATCCAAAAAGCAAGTCAGTATATGGGGAGAGCGGACCCGCATAAGAAGGGAGCAATAAATGTAACAACTGCTACTCAGCCTGAGCTTTACTGGTGTAGGCAGTCGTTTTGTGACAGTGCCTATATAAATGACATTAAGAATAGGCAAAAGGCTTTGCAAAAGGTGGCCTACAAGAGCTTTTTTGCTAGGGTTTGAGGGCTTGCCTTTTCTGAGGAATTCGATTTAAACGCTGTTAAATAAAGGTATGGTTTCAGTCACCATAAAGCAATGCAAGGTGGAATTTAGGACTCTGCCTTGTCCACAGCTGCACAAGTGCAGCTCTCACTGGAGAGGGCAGGAGGTGGCTCCCCAGCTGCAGGTAGGAATGGGTCTTCCCACCTGAGGAAGCCAAGCAGGAAATCACATTCCTGGCTAGAAAAAAAATGGGCAGTTGCCTGGCACGTCCTTGATGAATATAACAGCCACTTCTGTCTCAGGTCTGGATACAGCAGAGATGTCAAAAATAACACTTTGAAGCTGCATTTCCAATAAAAACAACTGGAAGCACGCAGCTTTGAAGACACAATTGCTAGAGGCTTTAAAAACAACAGAAATTTTGGGGGGAAAGTCTGAGAGCTGGAGGAGCGGATGGGTTTTCCTCATACCCTTCATTAACTGCAAAACTGTCACTCCTAAACACGGATGCAGTCAATAGCGCACAGGCAGGAAGCCACGTGCATGTTCCACGTCTTAAGTCAGCAGACCTTAAAGATACCAATACTGTCGTCTTTGTTTTCACCAGCCACCTAACAGAGTGGGAAAGCTCAGCAACCACTATAAAAATACAGCAGGTTAACCCTCTAGACACTGCCTTTTCAGTAAACACATCAGACAATTTAAGTTCATAATGCCTCCGAGACAAAGAGTAAGCTGGATAAAAGGACAATCCATAAGAAAGAACACCTCATCACTATATTGAGCTGTTTCAAGCAGATCAAAATATCTGTGTTAAAAAAATGAACGGAATTTGGCTAGCTTTCCATCTGCCGAGCAGTCTGCTCTCAACTGACTATAAAATTTCTCATGCAATTGCACTAAAACTCAAAAGCAGAGAGCATGCTGACTAACCATATAATGTTTGACGCATTGTAAAAGGGAAAAAGTAATCTTTCCTGCTTTTAGAAAATGTGATGGGAGTCTCATTAGAAAGGAATTCAATTTCAATAGTTACCTCGGCATGTAAAGGACTCGTTCTGCCACCACAAATCCCACCCTGAAGAAGAGGTTGCTGGCTGGGATGAATGGGAAAACCAGGAACAATAAGCCAACCAAAACTTCTTTGTGTTCCAGTTTCTGTAATAACACAAAATTAAACAAATTTCAACTACAAAAAGAGTCCAATTTATTTCACCTCTATGTTTCCCCTTTTATTTTTGGATTCCTATTCATAAAATAAGCAACTCTAATGCTTCATCTATGTATTCACTTCAAAGAATAAATTATTCCAAGATATTGTTCTTCCATATTTATACACTGTGTGTGTTCTGCGCTTCTGATATACCCAGAATGTAAATACGCATTAACCACAGCATGAATTATTATTCTTGGCATCTTCTCCAAGGTCAGCCCCTCTCTAGGCAGATGTCCTTAGATGTCACATGTACTACCTCAGACATACCCCATATTGGTATACATCAGTATACAATAGTGTGAATGTATATATTAACATGTCTACCACAGCAAGGCTGTATGTAAATATACAAGTGCACATCACATACGCACAGATTGCTATGTCCAATCCTAAATGTTTATAACCGAGCAAAAGGAGTTCAATCAATCATGTTTTCTGTAAAGAAAACTAGCCCTAAATGGCACATCAGTGCAGTCACTTTATCCTTCTGGAGACAGTATCTAAACTTTAAATGATACTTTCTCACACAAGATGTCCGTAGCCAACACAGAGCTGAAAATCTGAGATATACTCTATACTAACATTTAAAGTCTTTCATTTGGGCTCCTGTTTAATGGTGGCTTGCTATCCGAGGAGAAATCAAAATGCCACATGCAGTGCAAAACAACTGTTATTTGCACGGCCAACACCAAAAACATCAAGACCTTGTAATCAACAGCAGCCTCCATTTCCTGACATGGGGAGACCAAAACCTTCCTAGGCACGTTTAGCTTCACTGCCAGCTCCAGTCCAAGAACTTGAATCAGCTGACGCTTCTCTTGAATTATATGGATATAATCAAGCGAACAGAGATACTCCTCATTTAAAAACACCCAGTTTGGATTTCTTGAGGTGAAAGTATGGCATTTTTGACGCTTCTCTTGAACTATATGGATATAATCAAGCTAACAGAGATACCCCTCATTTAAAAACACCCAGGTTAGATTTCTTGAGGTGAAAGTATGGCATTTAGGTCTGTTAAATCACCCAGCTGGACAGGTGTGCTTTTTTGCCCTGTCCTGTAATACCATGGTCCAATCAGCCGCTGCAGTTCCATCCTACATTCATTTACACAAGTGTAGCATTGTCACATTTAGAAACAGATGCAAACAGAGTCACTTAATGGCTGTAGTATTTTCTAATTGGTTTGGGCAACTTCTCGACTTTGGAGAGCAAATTGAGTTCACCCAGCTGGACAGCTGTGCTTTTTTGCCCTGTCCTGTAATACCACGGTCCAATCAGCCGCTGCAGTTCCATCCTAAGTTCATTTACACAAGTGTAGCATTGTCACATTTAGAAACAGATGCAAACAGAGTCACTTAATGGCTGTAGTATTTTCTAATTGGTTTGGGCAACTTCTCGACTTTGGAGAGCAAATTGAGTTCCAAAGCTTTTGCTGGAGGGATGTAAAAGGCAGAAATGTCGAACAAGATTTTTTGATAGAGAAATGGAGTCTAATTAATCATGAAGGACTAAATTCTGCTCTCAGTTGAAGTACTACAACTTGTTTTGTTTCTTCACACCTAGAGATGGTGAGTAACTGCTTGCATAGTTAGTATTGCAGTTCTGAAATCTCAGTATAAAAACATATGAATCCTATTTTGTGAAAAGGACGATAAATTTTTGGATGGTTACAAAAATGCATTTGTACACATTTTCAGACTAACATGGCATAGTGCCATTTATCAACCTACTCCAGCTACAGGACTGAATCATTTACACACGACAAGCGTATCTACTGAGGGCAAGATCTGCCTTCTCCACCTAAAAGTTGGGGCATGTGGCATGAACTCAGTACCTCCTCCGCCTCCATTGTGAGAGGCACAAAGCACATCTGCCAGGTCACGAAGCATCTGACGTGACTGAGATGGGGGGATATATCATACTCCCACTAAAGGGGGTCTCTGCCATGACTCCAAGGGATGCTACATTTAGATGGTTCAGACGGCGTCCACTCATAGTGCATAGCTCCAGCAAGGTGACTGAAAAGAGTACCGTGGTGGGATCTTTTTGGTTGGGCCTCAGCTTTCACACAAGCAAGAATGACAAGTAATGCTCAAATATGACAGCAGTGGTACAGCATGTCTCACAACCATGTAGCAATACCTTTTACTACAGACTCCAATATCAGTTTGCAATTATCAGGGTTAGCCTGCTCAGCAAACGCTCTTTGAAGAAGAGATACCAGCACAAAAGCATGAATTGTGCCAGGGGCCATTTAGAAGGAGGGAGAAAATATAAATTGAACTGCATCTTAGCGAAAAAGCAAAAGCAGAGGATGAGTCTGAATGATACAAACACTTACCACCGAGGGAAAATAAAGTTGGAAAATGTTTTGACCAAAACAACCATGTTTTTGAATTCAACTTTTCAAGCAGCACCATTTACTCAGAGATAGACTGGTATCCACACAGTCGCACAGCAGAGAGGTGATGCACTGTGCATTTGCCCACAGGAAGGAAGAACCTTCCCCTCTAGTAGAGGCACCAGACCATACGTAGTGTTTGGAAACCCGGAAATAAATAAAGACCTGGTGTCACTTTAGAAGGGACTCTTCCTACCTTCACTGAACTGCAGGGTGCGGAAAAAAAAAGGTGCAAAGACTTCGCTGGTCAAAGAGGAAATAAGGCAGAGAGGGACACAGAACCTCCGGACTTCTTTAGAAATACCTGCTTTGTGAAACTCCACAACTGCATATTTCTACTATCTCCCTCTCCACTATGTTGAATAAGTTACCAGAGCCTTTCTGCAGTCACAAGGGGAAACTAAAATGAACTATCCTCAGAGCTGGAAAAAAAAAATCCATAAAAAGCTGATGAGAAGAGGTGCCCTGTAATGGTCACTTTGGCTGGTAATTACAATAGAAAACTGAATAGAAAATTGAATAGAAATGAAAAAAATAGTTCCAACGATGAATGCACATTATCAATTCCTGCTTAATCCCGAATTTGCCTTCCATCTAGCTCTGGACATATAATCCATTTCTCACCTGTCTCCTGGCGCTGCCTTCCCACCTCCTCTGCCCTAATTATGGTGTCACCCCGGAGCCTGGGGGGCACCAGAAGCTCTGCTGGGCCGCAGGGCGAAACGCTCTCCATCCCCAGGGCACCCTCTAGCTTTTAACCGAACCAGCCCCACGAAGCAGTCCCATGACAGCCTGACCGAACGCGGGAGGAAAGCAGAACAAAACAGGCACATCAAACAGGGGGAAAAAAGGGAAAACATGGAGTTAGCTTGGCCTGAGTAAGAAGAACGCTGCTGCCGGCCTCCTGCGCGTCCCTGAAGGGCCACAGCTGCAGCCCTCCCCTCCGCATGTCCCGGCGGCCGCGCAGGCCTGAGAGCACCTCCAGCACCTGCAACATTCCCTGTCGCAGGCTCGGGAACGCCGCGTGGCCGCAGAGCTCCCTATCCCTGACAACATCTGCCCACCGAGGCAGCGCTGGGAAAGGCAGCGCAGGCCGAAAACGCAACCGCAGAGCACCGAAAGGATCCTCCATAACCCTGGTGGGACCCTCCATAACCTTAGACCGCTAAAACGAACGACAAAAAGCCTCCCAGGGTACGGTTTTCTCCGTTATTTTTTCCCTTATAAAAACTGACTTAGCAGAATTCTCCCTTTTTTTCTCCCTTGCCCAGGAGGGGCTGATACACTTACCGATGAGCGGGCAAGCAAGGCAGGATGGGGCAAGAACATCAGGGATGGCCCTGTATGTCCTTAGAAACAGCGGATTTAGAAGCAGGATCTTCCACTGAAGGCAAACAACAGGAGATGTCCTCCAGACATCTTTTTAAATTAAAAATAAAAATATATATTGGGAACATTTGCCTCATCGGAGGCCACTTAGAGGCAGCTGAGCAAAGATGGCAGAAGCAGATTCTTCCAGATACCCAGAGTAATAGCGAGAGTCTTTGAAGAATGATAGGTAATTTTGTCTTTTTTTCCTTCCTTTAAAATGCAAACATTAGGGCTAGACATTTCAGATGTCTTCATTCCTTTTACAGAGAAGCAGTTCTTTTTCGCTTAGCAGTGCTTTCTTTTGGAAACATAAAACTTACCTACCAGTCAAAGAGGTCTCTGACAAAAGGCACCTTTGAATTAACCTCTGAATGATTCCTTTTGTTAATGGCAAACCAACCCAAATTAAATTAGCATTCTCATTCCGTTTGGGAGGAAGGAAGGGGGAAATTCGCATCTACGATTGATTACAAGTAGACCTTCATTATACTGTAACTAAAAAAAAAAAAAATCAATAAAGAAAATATTTTAAATGTGCTACTTTTCATACACTTAGCAAAGAACTAAAGCATATCACTCCTTTCCCCAACGGCAAGACCAAAAAAAAATAGACACGCTATTTCAAACAAAATAGCAAAGAATTCTGAGTTACTCTGAGGCCAAAAATACATCAACACTGCAATAAATCTCATAAATTGCTTGCTTGGCAATTTGGGGAAAAAGGAAGAAAGTCTTAAGTTTACAACTGAGAGAGATATTCCAATACTGCGTACAGGATATATCCCTGGGCTACAAGTAACTATTTGCTGACTACTGTTGGATGACAAGGGCTTCCTACAAGCCAGAGCCCACAAATGAATACTGCAGGACATATGCAGATTACCTTGACCTAACTGTTGTAACTTAGGGACCTGCAAAAGCATGCTGAAAATTCTCCACCTTTCCCATCGAGAAAGCTCTGTCCGAAACACCAGCGTCGCGAAGTGCTGCGCTGTCGTGGCCGGACTCGTGTCCGCGTCCCATCGCTTGGCCCAGGCAGCACGTCCAAGGGCCGACTCTCCAGGGAGGGGAGCCGTGAGGACACCCTGCTCCCAGCAGGACACACCTGCAGCTCTGAGAAGGCAGCACCTGGGCCAGCAAACTCCAGGAAGCAGAGTCCCATGACAG